AGGAAAATTCATTTTAAAGGCACGAGAAACGCGACTGGGTGTTCACGCAACCTTTGCACGTGTACGTGCACGCACATGAACACGCACAGAAGTGTGGGGGATCATATGAGAGTATGGCCTGGAACTGTGAAGCAAATTTCAGTGAAATGAGTGAAACCAGGGCGAGAATGGACAACCAAGCTAACAGCTAAACTAACCGAAGAGGTGATTTATTACCTCAACCAGATCAGCCCTTTCAACACAGAGCATGGCCTATTCACCTTTACTTCACCTGAAGATCAGGGTCACCAAACGGAGGGTAGCATTTTAATTTAAATTTCTTAAAGTGATAAGCACTGTTCCTATTTTCTCTCGTTGTCTAAATTTGTTATAGAAAACGATAGATATAAAATGTATGTATTTATATGTAAGGTATTATCTGTAAAAGAGATGAAAGAAACTAGTAATCATCCATGTTAAGAAATGACGGGCTGGGAAACTTCAGTCTAATCCTTAAGTCAGGGCTACTCGATGATCTTTCTAAGGCCAGTGATGACAGTGGGCGGCCAGCCGTGCTCCCCAACTTACTGCCGTATAACCTAAAGTTGTTCCAAGATGAAATGGATTAAAAATGCATAGTGTGCATTTAGAAAAATCATCCAAACTTTGTTTTTAAGATTCTGCGATTTGGACTATCATTTACCCGACAAACAGCCTAAAAATGGAAAGATAATTAACAATAATCTTTACCTGTATTACTCCATTTGCAACAAACATTTTACTGTTAAGGAATAATTTACCGGTAAGTAGCCAGAGCCAAAATGTCCATCCTTTTACCCAGACCAAACAAGGCTGGTGGTGACACCCGGCTTGATCCCCGCCAATCAGCATTTCCACCGAACTGATCAACTGCTGAAACTACTGTGGGTGAGAGTTTGAGACTCAGACACAAAAGGGGGCTAGAATTTTAATTAAATTCCTATTCTTTCAGAAAAAGAGATATTTTCTTTAATAACAAGAGCACAAATTTCCCTTTGCCTCACTGACAATAAAAAATGCACCGACATGAGTTACAAAACTCTGTAGCAGACGAGATATAATTCCTATTTTCAAATGGAAGGAAGAATAAGTAATTTCTTAGAGAAAACAAATATAAAGATGGCAGTTCCTTCCAACTTTAAAGTAGTATAAGTAGGGCGACCATTATTATTTTTTGCCCAAATAGCTAAGACCATACCCCGAAGATACAAGCACCAGTCTTCCTGTGTCTCCCCATGCCGAACCGACTGCTCATTGGCAATGGCGCCCCAGCACGGGCAAAACTTCCTAAAAACTGAAAAGGGAAAAACTGTAGGCAGAAAAGGTGAGTAAAATCCTATATCAAATTCCTATCAAATTAATTTTAAATGCTTTGTGATCGCGGTGAAGGCAAGTAAGCAGCTTAGAAACGGCAAGAACGCTTTCAAAATCCCAGAGACAGTGCTCACACTGTAATCCGCTGTGGTGGGGCGGGGGTGTGCAGCGGTAGCCTGTGACGCCCTGGGGGCCCCTAGGCGCCCCGCGGGGCTGTTTGCCCTAATGGAGGGACCCTTGGACTTAATGGAACTTGGGCGTGCCCCACCTCTCCCCTCATCTTGGAGGTCGCGATTGGACGGACGGACTATCAGCGCGTGCCACGCCCCCAGCCAACAATCGCGAAATACCAGTTACAAACTAAACTGTTGCCTGGCCTAACCCACACGTCTCGCCAAGCGGCTCACTTCTCACCCTGGAAATGGCGGTGCTTTTATAACTGTATTATTCTGTTGATGTGTGTGATGAAATATGGAAAAGAGTACATGTCTTTATATTCCTAAATGTGTTTGACACGTGACAGCAGACTGATGGCAGATAGAGGAAGGAGGAGAGCATGAAGAAACCGTGGAATGAAATGCCTCAAAATAAACCATTTTGTGGATTATTAAAAATTACTACAGCTATCAACTCGCATAATTTTCTTATTAAAGAACGTCAGGTTTGGGGAACTAAACCAAAAATGTCAATAACCACAATTGACCTTTAATGGGAAACTGTTGGTGCTTTTTAATAAGTGTGGTGAGGAGGGTTCAAATCACAGCATAACAGAACTTGTTTAAGTGAATTAATGCAGTTTGTAGTTAGTATACCATATCGCAGTAGTATTCAATTAGGGAAGATTACATTTGAAAAACATTACAGTTTAATTCCCCCAGGAATAAACTGATAAGTAACTGCAAAATCATCACTGGAAGAACATGTAAACAGTCAAGCATAACAAACCTACAGAAAGATAATTATCTCCAAATATAAGAAGTACATTTACCTGCCTATCCACCTCTTCAAGCCTATGCTTAGCACACGTGCAAAAATAAAGTACAATACAAATACTGCAATTATTACTATCATTTTCTTTTGCCCTTAGGTGAGAAATACCTGACAGCTACATGCTGAGCCATGCTAACAAAACGAAACCTTTCACTTTCTTTAATAGTAAAATTACCATTACTGAATCATTGTCATAAAAAAATGCATTCAAGTACATTACCACTTATTTTAAATAAACACCAATTTTGAAACAATCAACTTTGAAAAGCTGCATAAGTTTTTTAAATCCCTGATTACATTTCTATTTATTCACTGTGGTAGACTGAAACATTGTATTTTTAGAGACTAACTACCACTTAATTTCTTAAAAAAAAAACAAACAAAAAAAACACAAAACAAAAACCTGCCTAATGTAGAACAGTAGCGAAGCAAGAATATTGTGTGCTTGTCACAGTTTTTCACTGTACATAAGAACTGTGATAAAATATGGTACTCACGCCACACTGGTACATGAGAAAACAGTTAACTTGTAGCACAGAGCACATAGTTTACCAAGGTAATGCTCTAGTAAATTCAAGGACTGGACTTTCACCTCACTTCTGCCACCAAAGTCCTGGGGAGGCTTTGGACATGATCAATAGCATGTATTTTTCATCTCACAGTTAACAATGTGTGTAATTAACACTGACTCTGCGACTATGGTTTGATGCCAGCTCCTGAATTTTAAGTTTATCTCAGTTATTTTTCAGAAAGTAATTTGTATGCCACAGTACCTAACAATGTCCATGCTACTGCAGTTTCTCTACCAAGAGGATCAGATTTAAAAAAAAAAAAAAAAAAAAAGCTTCTTTGGGGCTTTTTAAATCACCTTAAGTTGGTCAGGTCTGTTTACCCAATTATCCGTAGCACTGCAAATTTTCAGGATTACATTTGAATAGTGGTATGCACAATACCTAAAAAGATATCAACACCTGAATTTTTTTGTAACCTTCTAAAAGAAGTCACACTCAGTAATTAGAAAAAAATTTTATCCTACAGAGATAAAAAAAACACTACATAGAATGTGTCTTTTGCTAAACAGCTTACTTATATTTATAGGTGAACTACTTATTACAAAAGTGACACCAGAAAAGAACCTGTATTCTGAATACAGTGACGAGAACAGAATGTCTACAGCCCTTGCCAATACACCAAAGCTAATCATGTGCTTATTGAAAAGGACTTATAAACACATCAGCCTTCCGGTTTACAGATCAGCAGTTGGAGCTGTCTGTGTCTCTTATTTTTTCAACGCTGTCTTCTTTGTCTTCTGGTTTAATTTCGCCGTCGTCATCCTTGTGTCGAGTTGGATCTTTTTCAGCAACCTGGTCTTTGGTTTGGGGGTTATATATGGAAACAGGATCTAAAACTACAACTGGTTCAGCTTGTTTTTCACTGTCAATGTATCGTCTCCTCCATCCAGTGTTACTGGGAGGCCTAGGGAATGAACAGTTAAACAAAACAACAAAACATAAAATATATTCATATTCTTGGATTCAGATGAACAAAAACCCCCAAATGTTCTAAGTCTAATCAACATGCACAAAGTGGTTTTGAAGTGCCAGCCATTTAAAAAAAAAACAAAACAAAACAAAAAATAAAACAGCTATAAGATTACATATTAGGAGCACAAGGCCAGAAGAAAGAAGGCGGAAAAAGTCAGAGCAATTAACGACAAGTGTTAAAAAGCCAGACGCACCTACCTGCTTAATGACATGCTCACCTCGGGAAGTGCAAAGCTGCTTACAGATATGTTGTGCATACCTCCCCAGGCCTGTGCCCAGGCTCCTCTCCTTCCTTCACTTAGCTGGAAGGAGCCAGTTAACCCCCTCCCTTGTGTCCCTGGGTACATGTGGTTGCAGATTAGCTCTGAGGAGACCGCACTGCCGAGGGAACTAAATCACCCCATCTCTGATGGAAAGCTGGGAGACGTGTCAGCTGCTGCCATTACTGACAAGGAGAAATCTGGTCAGACCTGGGGAAGGGTGAGGGGAGGAACAAGGGCTGATGGGAGAACCCAGAGGATAAGCTGAAACGCTGTCACTATGAACTTTTTCTAAAAAGGAGAATCATGTTTCTTGAGAAATTTATTTCAGATGCAGTCTCTTTTTCCCTAGAGGCTTCCTCTCTTCTCTTCTGATGCAAGAAGCTACTCCTTCTCAAGCCGAATATGTGAATTTCCTTGTGGAAAGAGATGTCCTGAAACACTCTTCTCTTGCCATGTGTCAGGAAATGAGGCAGTTGGCTGCACCTGGTCCTCTCGGAAGTCATGGTCAGAAGCCACCATCTACGGGTACTGGGCTGCTGACGTGGTGCCTGAAGCTGAGGGGTGTGCAGTAGGCAGGGCAGGGGCTACTCAGACTTATCTGGTCTTCTTGGAAACATGAGGATGTTAACCGTGGGCCCTGTGGGACATGCACACCCCTGTCCCACGTCTGGATGTCAAGCCAGGTACCACTGAACCGTTAGCCAGACTCTGCCCACTGCCCTACCAGCCTCTTAGCAGCTGACTCCTAAAGCAGGTCAGATCTGCCAGTCAGACACTCTTACCACTCGATACTTCTCCCTTGTTGGACTTACCACAGTTAAAATCAAATACGTGCAATTAGTTGTTTGATGTCTCTCTCTTCAAATAAAATGTAAGCATCCATGAAACAGACTATTTAGCTTTGTTCACAGTTACGGCCTAGCTAGCACCTAGCACGGATCCATTTGTGGAATGAGCGAATGTGAATTAACTGTGCATGAAAGGCTCAGAATGAATGGGCAGAAACCAAAGCTCTGATGTGAGTAGGTCTGGAGGTCTCTCTCATACAACAAAAACAATGGAATGATCAACTATTGAGAAAGTGGCCTGCGTGGTCCAGCCACAGGTACAAAAAAACCTCAAACCCAGTTTTATCACTTTCTGACTAGTGCTGTGAGATTTATCCAAATGTTTGAAAACCGCTCCATCTGGCTATCCGGTTATACTGTGCGACATGGTCACCATCGTTAAGCGACTAGCAGGATTCTGTCTTCTTTGGAGGTACTAAAAGCAGAGATGGCAGGGAGCATGAGAGGAAAGCTATGCTGCAGTGAGGACAGACCCCTTTATTTTTGCCTCGATTTGGCAATGTGCTGTCCAACCACCTTGGCCAAGGATCTGTTTCTCAAGAAGTCTGTTACTATACTTTGGGAAGCAGAACGGGATGTAGTTTCCCCAGCAGTACCTGGGTTGACTTCCTCTGACCCATGCAACACCTGAATGACTGTCTCTACTAGGGTACGGTCAGAGAAGTCGACCCACTATGAGTGACATACGGGATTTATTATGGGAATTAGGCCACAGGCAATAGAAGGAGCTGTGCAAGTCTGTTGCCCCTACGTCTGATGCTGGGCCTGAAGTCGGCAGTTTTGGCGGCTAAAAAGGAAGATGATGAAAAGTGGCAAGAGACTGCAGACAGACCAGTGCTGCAGCTGTGCCTCCCACTCACTTATCCTGAAGATGCAGATGACCTGCAGGATGAGCTGGGGCCCTTCCGCGTGGAGCTGCACATGCGCCT